TTAGCTATCAGAGTAAATGGCAAAAGTTGTGCCTGATTTATTATATTTCTCTTGCACAGTGTTATAGGGCTATTAGTTCGGTCTGGAATACTGTTACGTATTCTCCTAATATCGTTGTTTTCAACTTGGATTCAACTATTCCAGCTCCGACTCCTTTCTTGGTTTTTGAACCGTGTGTATACCAGAGTTCAGTCTGTATTTCAATTTGAAAATGTATTTCAAAGCATATGGTTATGGATATCAAAAATAGGCATTTCCGAGAATCTTTTTTACTTGCTAGTATAGCCTTGTTTGTTCAATGCTATGTGGTTGGTTTATTGGGTTTTGTCCCTGAATTAGCCTATTAATGACGGACCTGGTTTCTCCTTGTATGAAGATGTGAAGTTGCGTGATGTTTATTAGTACCACCGTTGCTGCAGATGGTGTAGTACGCATGACCCTTGGCACCTATGGCACTCAAGAGAAGCAAGCCGCTCAATGCACTTTTATGCTCAGTTTTGGTTACCCACGCCACTGCGCAATAGATTATCATGAATCTTATCCTCCTTGTTTATAACCATGTATTCATTTTGGGGCTTAGGTTCTAAGCTATACTTACAGTGGCCCTGCACATTTTTAGGCTATACAGGACAAGTTATAGTTGTATGCACATGTACCAAATATCTGGAAACAAAGCAAACTGGTTTTTATATCTAAACCATGGCGTCCTACAAATTTTCTGCTGAAATTCTACACAAGGCCTACGTTCTCTGCCAAAAGATGACACTCTCATGCTACGATTAAAACACTTATTTCGCGCACTTAGTACGAAAATAACTATATTATCTACATTATTTTGAAAATTCTTTGCTTTACACTTTTATCATTGTAATAAAAACCAAATTAATGAAAATTATTAAAATAATGATTGGTAATGAGCAGTTCCTATTGACTGCACTGCAGTTTGGTAAAGCACAGTTTCTTAAAGAGTAAAATGGACAGGCGTCAACATGCATTCAAAAATAGCAGCTTACTGCACGTTGACGTGATGACATGTGTATATTTTACTCTATAAGGTACTGTGGATTGCCAAAATTCGACTGCATCGTGCAATCGACAGCAACCGCACTTTGCTGTCCGTCTATTTCCGCCCTAACTCTTTCTTAAACTACACTTGTTTAATGTCTTTATTTTTAATTTTTAGAATGGAGCTCAACCGCCTTGTATGTACAAAGAACACAGCTGCTAGACAACTCTCAGGACATGGTTATTTGGTTGTTTCATATAATTGAAAATAGAACTTCTTTAAGGTACGTTATTTTAATCTTTAAATTATATTTCGATAGTAACATAAAATAGGAATGGACGCAAACCGAATCTCGAAGCGACAAGCCGAATGTATAGGTTTATTTTTGTTCCAATTTCAATATTAGAACTATTCTGACATGCGTAGTGATTCAAAAGTGTTTTGGTTAATTTCGAATCAGTTCAGAACCGGAGGTAACGTAAAATTCTGTGTATTGGATCACTCATCGAATTATTTTAGAACTGTTTTAGAACGATCCAAACAGGAATTATTTTAGCTTTGTTTTGGTTCCGAAATTAGAATGGTTCAAGAATTTTATTTGAACTACACAGAACAGGTTGCGCAGTGACAAAAATAATAAAACTGATTCAGAATCGATTCAAGAAAGTGTGAACCAAAACACTTTTGTCATTACTATAGCCTTTTATTATTGAGGACAATTATTGTCAATTCTGTGAACTACATAATTTGCAAAACTGTAATTTGCCATTGTTTTTTGTTCTTAAGATTAACAAAGGGTTGTAAACGTCATATTTTATTTCATATGTATTCTTGTCGATTCTTGTAAAACGTTTTTACTTATATCTTTTGTTCTATTCGTGTTTTTACTTATATCTTTTGTTCGATTATTGTTTTACTTATATCATTTGTTCTATTCTTGATATTTTTTCATTAATCTTTTTTTGATTCTCATATTTTTTAAAATATACATAGAAAATATAAAAATTATTTAATTTCAAATTAGTCATCCCATCATGGATAATGGTAATATGAATACATACGGTTCTGGTGAACCAAAACACAGAATTTTACGTCATTTCCAGTTCTGAACCGATTCGAAATTAACCAAAACACTTTTAAATCACTGCGCATGTCAGAACGGTTCTTAAATTGGAACCAAAACAAACCTTTGTTTTGGTTCACTTTCGTAACTGTTCTAGAACTCTTTCAGAACCTTTAGAGCATGCGCAGTAGATATTTGCTGTTTTGGTTTCGCCAGAACTGTTCCGAACCTGTAAGTTCTATGTTTTGGTTTTTCTTGGGAATGGTTCCATAACCATTCTCGAACAGTAACGTCGGTTCTGGCCTAAAGCGAGAACTGTTTCAGAATTGATATGTTTGCGCTTGCGCTTTTTTGAAAGTTTTTTTGGTTTTGAGAGCCTGGCCATGTTTTGTGTTGGAATTTTTACAAGGAATTTTCAAATGACCAATGAGAATGGAGCAGTTGATTAGTTGATGTTGGGTCATAAGATTTTTTACGAATAAATTATTTAATTTATCTACGTTTTACAATATTATGTGGCCTCTTTCTTACCTAGACACTGACCCTGTGTTATTTCTTCTTTTTTATTTATAATTACTTTTTGACATTTAACTGTTCTGGCAGTGTTTTGGTATCGAATACAAGTGGAATGGTTACAGAACTGTCCAGAATTAAGGACCATTGCGCAATAGTTCTGCGCATGGTTCTGGAACAATTCCTATAGGTTCTCGTTCGAAAATTGTTCCAGAACCATCTATCATCTATCGATCATCGCTTATCCAGGCATCTTCGGCATACATGTACATCAATTTTTAAATAGAAAACGACCATATAAAAACAGTGTTGCCACTGTTTTCATATGCTTCTTCTCTTATTATTTGTTCTATGTAGTACCTAATAATTTACGAGGAATTTATATTCACTCATCTCAAAATTTTAGATCTATAATTAAATGTTTAATAATAATAATACACATAAATCATCTGAGTCATTAAAAAGATTTTCTATTCTAGAGTTCATATCGATGTTTTTTACTAAGAGTTCTTCAAGGTTGTAGATCCACTTCTTCAAATAATAGGCACTTGTGTTTGAAAACATTTTGCATGGGCGGCGAAGGTAAATACTTTAAAACAGCTGGTACAAACTATTAAAATGAGATATTTTTGCATACAAAAATAAGGTGGTTGGATTTCGAAGTTCGAAATGGGAGATGATACTGTCTGCTCGCGAAATGTACAAGAGGAAAGTAAAGTTCTGCTAAATTATTTTTCATTTTAGTATAGATTTTCCAATGGTTTATTTTCATTTAAAACCAACCTTGACTCTAGATGAAACTAATACGAAAACCTATCAATGAGGCAAAATAATGTTTTATTCTGTTTGTGGTTTTATTAGAAATGTTCCTATAAAATCATTCGAGATTCAATGAGGCCTTTAAAAATTCGCAATTCGCCAAAAAATGTAGATATTTAATCGATGTTATTTCACCGTGACATTAATTTAAAAAATAATCCCATGCTAATTTTTGATTCACTTAGTGACTAGTAATAATTTACATCACACTGAAAATGTTGTTTGATACAGCAAAGCAATATTCTTGGAAAATGTCATTCAAAGTATTTTGTCAAGAAGAAAACATGGGCAATTTGCAACTTCAACTCCTTGTATATCAAAAACTAATCGTAGGATTGATTTGTGCCCATCGACAATATTATTCAAGAGGTCAATAGCTGCAAAATACCAAAAATTCAGGACATTTTTTCATAAGCTGATACTTAGAAGGCGTCTGACACCTCAATTTTCAGCCGGAGGTACGAACATTTTTTTAAGTCTATTATTTTTCAATTTCGGGTTGTCTGACGTGTCCTTTGCACGGATTCTCAACTAAATCCTTGCAAATGACACTTCCTGATAGTCCCTTAGTCCCGTCAACCACCTCACAAAATTCCAGCCGGATCGTAGTACTTTCGCGGCAATTAACTGTGCGTCTAAAATGTTCGATAAAAGAACACATATCTCATTACTCTGACACGCATACCTAGAATATTTTTGTGGGAAGAACAATAATTTAAGAAATTATGTATCAAGTCTTAATGGAATTTTAATGTGGGCTATGTAATGCGTCCATACTAACAAACAACATCTTAGAAACAAAGTTAAAGTACAGTTTCTAATAAATATATGCATATTTTAAAATGTAGTGTCCATATTACGTAGATGATGAATTACTTGAAGGGGACTGGTTGGCGGAAATCAATACTTATTACATACATTTAATAGACCTTTGTAAATTATAAAAAACAATATTTTTGGGTTACAATTAATTACAAACAAACATTAATAGATATTAAGTAAATTCTTGAATACTTTGATATTTTTTAAATAATTAACGTCATATTTAATGACCATCCAAATAATTTTAATAAGTTACCTAATCAAAAGTTATAATTTGTTGCGTCTAAAAACTCATATTTTTTAATTTGATGACATCGTCTTCAACTAGCCTCGTGTTCTATGTAGGTTTTGTTACTGTTTCCCATCGTCACTTTAGACACAGCACTGTTAATTAGAAACCAAAATTGAATGGGTGTGAGTGGGGATTCCTGCATATACCTTGGGATTAATTTTTAATTAATTAAATATTTTACGTAAATTAAAAAATAAAAATGATCCTTTTTCATTTTTTTATAATTATTTATAAAAGAATTAAAATGTTGATAGTTACTTATTAAAAAATTCGTTAAGAGAGAACCGGAAGTGATAAATTATAGATTTCATTAAGATTCTAAACCACACTCACTGATTTGAAATGCAAATGGTGTCAATTACCTATATTTCTCCATCAAAATATATATTATTATCACGTATATTTAATAACAAAATTTTTAAATATACCTATGGATGGATGTACGAACAAATAAACATTTTATCTTAATCTTATTACATGTATCTCACAGATAGTAAAAACATCAGGTACATGCTTAGTTAAAAGTAAACTCTGTTATCATCGTCTTCAAAACAGATCAAGAGAACTTTATGAAACCAGAAAATATATACAAAGTGTCACTTTTACTCATATATGCATAAAAGTCCGATAAAATGCTCAAACAAAGGATAAGGAACTATTTGCCAAATAAAGCGATGTCATTTTGAAACAGTATGTAAGTAATAAAGTAATAAAGTAAACCAGAATATAGTAATTAACACAAAAATATTTGCTCATATATTTTGTTGTAACGGTTGTTGATCTAATCTTTTAAATTTTATTTGTTTATATATGTATTAGTCTAGTATACCGGATGGGTTAAAATTTAAGTTGAAATATTGAATTTTGGGCATAATTCCACATACTTTTCATCCATTGGTGACTTGAGTTTTCATAGTGAATAAAAATATACTATCAACATTATATGGAAGAATCTGAAATAAAACCCGTAATAAATGAATTAAAAAATAAGACAGCTGTAGGTATTGTACGATTGTTTAATTTAAAAATATTTAAAATAGTCTATTTATAATTTATTTACATCAATTACTAATTATTTATTTATTTATTTATACTTAACTATTTATATTTCACGGTTCTAATTTATTTAACAATTCGCCTTTACTTAGCAACGTTTATATACAATACTTAAAGTTTTATCGACAAAGTCCCGCTATTTATTTAAAAATATAACAGCATAGAAAAATCCAATCCTGACTAGAAGCTCCATGCAAGTCCAGAAGTTCTCGAAATTCTTCATCCACTCGTCGGGCTACGTACAGAGAAAACATTTAAGTCGATTTCTCAAGTCTCGAGGCGGGTCAACAAAGAACAGAGCTGAACCGGCCGAAAACGGCTTCCCACGACATTATCACTCCTTAAGATACTTTCTCCTGGCGAACTGAAACTGAATGGTTGTATCTGCAACTAGACCCTCTTTTTGTCAATTTCCATTTGCACGGAAGTAACAAGGGACGGTCTTCGCTGTAACCTGAACACTGGGCGATGGCTGCAGACCAGTATTTGAATCTCGGTATCTTAGAAAATTACTTTTACCTTGTTTCTAATAATCCTCCAATTCAACTATTAAGCTCTATCTTTGACAGGGCTAGTAATGCTTCCCATACATCATAATAATTGGATCAATCTAGGCAGGTGTTCTTTGTAAGAAAAGGTAGCGCGATCCATCTTGAAGTTTTAAGGCTGTTTCCGGGTATGATAACTGACCTTGAAGTTCTGGCAATCGATCAAACTTCTTCCGGAACCCAAATGCCAAACCTCGAACGTCATTGATGCTGGCGGAAGTGCTATGGACCAGCGAGTAGTCTTTAGGAACCCTGAGCAGATCTTGTTGTTGCTCGGTTATAACCTCCATAAATTCTTCAAAGACAAAGTTAGGTATTTTTTGGAGCTGGTTTACTTCTTCTTCCTCGTCGTGGTCACCCTCAAATGGCGCCAGTCCCGTTTTGGTACACTACCTTTGGTTTACCGTTCGGGATATCACTTATACGGTAAATTACATTATTAATTTTTTTCTTGATGAGGTACGGACCTTCCTAGAATCTTTGAAGCTTTGGAGGATAACTATTTTGTCTTTTTTTTTGGGTTATGGAGCCAGACTTTGTCGCCTTTCTTGAAATATCCTTCTGTAGCTTGGGTATTGTACCGCTGGCGATTTGAAGATGCTGGCGAACTAACCAGTCGCGGCTCATGGGCTAGTCTACGAGGAGGCTACTTTTGAAAGGTACACCCTATATACTAAATACAAATATATATTTCTATTAGATTACCATGTAATATTTCTGCTTTTTGAATTCTAATAGAAATATTTATTTGTATTAAGTATATAGGGTGTTCCGTTCAAAAATAGCCTTCGTAGCCAACTCATGCGTATTGTCCATTTTTCTTCGTAGCTGAATCACATAATCTTCATCAGCTGTCTTCTCCAAGGTCGCCATCTAAACTCGAGGTCGCACGATTATGGGGCAAAGTAAAAAATAATACGAATTTTAAAAACCAATATAGAACTTAGGAAAAAAAAGGAGTCATTTTAGTTGTTGATTTACATAGACAAAGTAGTAACAAACAAAGCTATATTAATATATACTCATCATTCAATAGGTACTATTTTAATAATTAGTCAAAACTTAACTATGTCGCTTTGTCCCGATTTTCCTTATATCCCTAAAATTTTTTGCCCTTTGAAATGATGTATCACTCAACTCCCCTTTTCATTTTAAATTTTAGGGGTATCATTGGCCATAGGGTTGAAGATGCAGGTTAAAAAATATATTTAAGATGCAAAATCGACATGTCCGAGCATTTCTGCTTTTAATTTCACGAAAAGATCAAAATCTAGGTGTATACGAGTACTTTTCGTTAAATAACCCTGTATACGAACACGACTAAATACAGAAACTATGGATAAAAGCAAAACCTAAACTTCTATTACATACTGCGATTATTGCGTTTAATATTATTAAAGTATTATTTACAAGAATTTAATAAAAATCCGAATATCTAACCTTCAGTTTATTTTTCTTATAATATTGTCAATAACAATCATTTATAAAAATGTTGAATTAAATGTGATAGAAATAGACATTCTTATCTCAATCACCAAATATAAATAATTTCAAGAGTTCGCTTTACAAAATATTTAGGACTTAGCGTTTGTTTTACTTAGAAGTTGGCATACAAACTTCAATGATTGAAAATATATTTGTATTTAGAAAATCGTTGAAAAAAATCATTAAATCAGTCATTTTGAGTCAAAGTTACAATCAATTTGGTTCAAGCTGTAAAATAGACGTTGTTTATGGAATAGTCTGGCCTTGAGGAAGGTAATCACACTGCAATTACTCTTTGCGATCTGTCTAAAACTTTCGATTGCATATCACAGGAAATCTTGATTGAGAAGTTAAATTAGGTACTATGGTGTCCGAGGAAATGTGCTATAACTTTTATAATCTTATTTATCTAAACGATTTCAAAACAAAAGGTCAAATTTCAGTTCAATTCCACAGGACTCTGTCCTAGGACCATTATTATTTATTATGTACACCAACTAATGTATGAATCTGGTCAATTTGCAGACGACACCACTTTTGTATATTCTGCAAGTAATGTAACTGAGCTGAAAAATACTGCTGAAACTATTAACGCTAAAGCTGAATATTGGTTCTTAGCTTATATAACAATTAAAACAAATCTTAGAAGTTTTCTTCGAGTTTCTAATAACTAGAAAAATTGATATCACCATAAGGGAACCCAATGCCTACCAACATAGACAGGCACAGGGACAATAATATTTTCCAACAAGGTACTTATCATAATTATGATTAAAATATTGGCAATGCTATTTGAAACACCCTGTATATAACAAGATTAATTTAAAAAAATGTATCTACATATAAGTAAAATATGTTATTTTGTGTGAAGTTAAATTATATTACGGGTAGTTAGAGATAATTTAAATGTTTACTACGTCAATGTCTGAAGATTTATCTTAGGCAAAATCTTATGTTTATTACACATTTTTAAATCAATATTTAATATTCGTTGCAAAACTGACGTATTTGTACAAAAGATTAGTCAAAGGACATTGTTCGAAGTGCTACGTGACTTTTCTAATGTATAAACGATCATAATCTTAATTTTTCATTACAAAATTCAAATAATACTTCATTGTAAATATTAATCACACAATTTTTGTTAATACGAGTACGTATAATCTTATCAGAGCCAAGCAGTCTGTATCTATCGTTACATGCATCAACAAATTTTCTCTCCTTATCGTATTTGTATTACGTGGATATCTGCGACTACCTATAATGGTGGGTGAGGTTTTTCCGGGTTTTCCTCATCTGTAAGTCAAATGGCACCATAAATAATCTTTAAGTCGCCCCGGAGCCCCACGGATAATAATAATATCCGTCCCTTCCCCACACAAGCTCGCAGTCGGTTTCAGCGGTTGAAATTCACTCGTAAGGGTGAATTAGAGAGAGTATTATTATTATAAAGTAAATTTCATATCAAATCACTAAAAGTTTAAATTGTTGTATGTGCATTGATCTCTTAAATGTTTTCTTTATAGACATAAACATGTAATGTACCTACGCCAACCGAAGTGCTAGAACAAGTCATACTGCAGCTGTGTTTGTAGATTCATATTTAAGTTTACTTATGTATTTAGCAAATAATGAAATGACCTTCTGGTTATTAACAGATCTATCAAGTGCAAGAGATACCGTTAAAAAAACAAAACCTGATAAATAATAAATGCTTGAAAAATAATGCTATATGTCGATGAACGTTAATTATGTAAGTTTTGAAATATAATATAAAATTGATTGATAATATTAATCTTTATTATTCGCTGATAACTTATTAGATTTTGTAATTTTTTGTATTGAACAAAAACAATTTTATTATATTTTGGCACGTAGGCTAATCTAGTAATTTCAATTTCCATATCATAGAGGACGTTCCAAATAACTTTTGATCCTTGGTGGATTTAAAACAGACAAAACAAATCAATTTTTATACCAAAGGGTCGCAGCCAGGAAATTAACCTGGAGCGGGTCACCTTAATAATGGTTTTGAGCCCATTTCGATTTATATCTGTACCCCAGAGCTAGACTATGTTAAGTCCTAATTGGACAAATTTTAGCTAAATATGTTAAGTGACTTAAAATTTTGTGGGGCATCGGTTGGTATTTTCCATTTTGGCGTATCTTTTAAAATAACTAAAATGGCTCTCCTTAGGGCAAACAATGTTAAGTAGCGCTAACCTTATTTGCCTCTGGATTTGTGTTCAGTTTCAATTTCTATTTACAATGCCTGGGACAAGACGTGGTTCGTGGTCTTCTAGGACAAGTCCATGCTCGTAAGAGCTCAGTACTTTGATGGCTGCTTGACTGTCGGACATGATGATAATCTCTTGTCTATGATAGTTTCTCTCGATGTTAAATTGGATACACTTCTCGATGGCGTGAATTTCCGCCTGGAAGATGCTTGGGTATTTTCCTAAGCTTTCGAAGTGCTTTGGTCTCGGCCCATACACTCCTATTCCAGTACCTTCTATGGTTTTGGAACCGTCCGTATACCACTGAATAGCACGTCTTTCGGTTGCAAGCGCGATGGATTCTTTGCTCTATTCTTTCTTGCAGACCA